GCCGTGTTCGCGAAGAAAGTCCAGCCCCAGAATGAGTGGACGGGAGCACACAGGTAATACGAGGAAAGACCCTGTGAACGTCGAAGCATGGACTCGAACACGGGCTGTTCACATTCCAGTAGGTGTGACGAGGTGGCCCCCTGCCGTGCGCAACGGTGGTCCTTGCCAAGGGGTAGTTACCTTCCTCAGTTGGGATGCTAGGGTGCTGCTCATAACTGAATAATCGGCGCCGGTGTCGACGAGGGCAGTGACGACGTGATTATTGACGTGTACGGTGATGTCGGCGGAAACAGTCTTATGACTTTCGGAAACGACTGGAAAGTCAGAACGGTCTTCGTCGGATCTTTGCGTCGAAGGAGGCTCTTTGACAGTTCGTTTGGACGCGGCTTCACCCCCAGGAGCCGCGGTTTCTAGTTTCCCCTGTGGGGACTCGGTGACCGGCCTCTGAAAGGAGCAAAAGATGACGAGGGAATGCTAGGTGACGTGGGGCGGCGAGGTGATGGTGATCTTGAAATGGGGCGTTGACCAAGGCGAGGAGCTTGCTGGCCCGTAAGGTACGCTTCAATGTCGCGGGGACGCTCACCGTAACGCGGGCACCGAGCATCAGGGTGAAAGCCACGGAGACCAAGTTGGCGGTACTGGCAGTTACGGTAGACGTGACCCGCTTCGCCACAGTGGTAGCAGAGTGGTCGGTTATCGGACGTACGCCACACGCTGGCCTTTGTGGCGTTCTGCCGCGATCCAGACGAACGATAAGTTGGTGCACTCGGAAACCTTGAGGCGGGTGGTGGAGTCGAAGAGGTGCCCTGGAATCGATGGCTAGCCTGATCCATTCTCTCTATGGTGGGATCAGGGCCATGTGGTGCAGGAGATCGCAGAGCCGCCGCATAAGTCAGTACAGGGGCCTCAGGCCTTGTTGGCGCGAGTGGGGTGACCACCTGTCGGATCTCATTTCGGATTAAGTCTGTGAAAGCACTTACGGGTGGTTGGGGTCCCGCTTCTTGGAGTTGGCGCAGCTCGTCCCGCACGACGCTTCTTATGAACTCAGCGAGGGCATGCCTCTCGCTGTCAGCCCCGATAAAGCATGCAGCAGGGGTCACGTCGTGGCGTTCATACTGTGACGACCTATACTGGAGAGTACGCTCCATTGTGGTTGCCTCATTTATGAACTCTGCCACAGTCGTCGGTGGATTGCGCACGAGTCCGGCGAAGAGCTGCTCTTTTACCCCACGCATTAAATGCCGCACCTTTTTTTCCTCGGACATTGCAGGGTCAGCACGCTTGAAGAGTCGCAGCATGTCCTCGACAAACATCGAAACTCTCTCGTTGGGTCGTTGGTTCCGAGACGAGATAGCCTGCTCTGCTCTTTCTTTCCTTTCAGTGCTGCGGTACGCATCACGAAACTGTCGGCTGAACTCATGCCAAGTCGCAAAGGAACCCTCGTGATTCTCGTACCACGTTTTGGCAGAGTCTTCTAATGCAAAGTAAACTCTCCGCAGCTTGCGAGCTTCATCCCATTCGTTGATGTTGGCAACTCGATTGAAGTGGTCAAGCCAGTCGTCAACATCTTCATAAATATCTCCATGAAATGAGCGTGGTGTTTGCGGCGCATGAAAAACATGCGGGAGAAAAGAATAGGCGTCGTTGGTTTGACTCGCCTGGTTGTTAGTAGAAGTTGCCATCTCGTCTTGAGAGAGGGGACCGTACTCGGGAGATAGTCCTCGCAGGCGGCGACTGCTTCTTGCCGTGGGAGCTGTAGCTGTCTCCAAGTAGCTTGGTGTGCCAGCTGAAAATCTGCAGCCAAGGCGCATTTACCCAGCACCTCCACCAGTGCCGCGAACGTAATAACAGACAGCGACGAAACGACGTCTTGCTTGCCCTCAGACCAGGACGCAAAAGCCCTCTTCTTTCTTCACTTCAAAAGGATTCCGCCTATAGTTGAAGGCTCATACCCACTACCTGTGACAATATTGTTGTTGTCGTCGCTCCCATCGCCGGCGTTTCACCAGGTACGGCGTCTTGTAGCGTGCCCTGCACGCCTTCTCGGCCATCTGGTGGTCGCCGCCGCATAGTTGACAAGTGGGCTGGAATTGGTGATCTTGCGGGGGATTGGTCGTACCACAGCCACGGCACACGTGGTCTTTCGGGTTTGAGCATACATCTGCGCGGTGCCCCAGGCGACCGCATTGGTAACACGTCTCTATCTGTTTGCGGTAAAGGGAGCACTTCAACATTGCCCCACCGTATCGAACGTATGTTGGCACGCGAAGACCAGCGAACAGTACGATCACCGTCGTTGTGTTGCTGAGGCGTTTTGCAGCGATGGCTGTAGGGTTCTTTGTTGTAATCACATTAGCTGTAGTATCTCGGGCAGTATCTTCCAACGGAATATCACGTATCACGCCTTTTGACGTACCGTCTGGTGCTGCTTCGTATGCGCTGGTATCGTACGTCTTGTTGCCGACCACAATGCGAGAGATTTTCTGGTATCTATCAGCATGCGCGTCGATGGGTGTGCTCACAACGATATTTTGCTGGAAATTTGGGCATATTGTGTCCTCATCTTGGGCGTCTCTCGGAATTTCAGCGGCGTGGTAAAAGCTAGTCGCCAGTCGGGCGGCTCCATGATCGGTGAGTCGAAGGCCGCCTTTAGGTCGGATGATGATCTTGTAGTCACCTCGAGGCAGTGGAGGCATCCGGCTTATTCTTGTTATTTGACTCAGGCTTTGTTCACGCCGTTCCCTGCTGTTATTCCCTCGTTGAGAATCCGCACCCGGTTCTCGTGATTGCCCGCGGGTCGACTTCTTTGATCCTACGGTGCTCCATCCTGTACTTTCTTCGAATTCTTCACTAGAAATGGGTTCTCCCTCCACTGTGACCTCCATTTCTCCTCAAAAAGTCGGACGCGTCAAACGCGCCGACCGGCGTTTCTTGGTGCCCGCAGAGCTTGGCCGGCCTAGGCAGCAACGTCTCTGGCAGCTGCACTGCCTGTGGCTTGGCAGGCGTTAGGCCTATCTCTCTCGCTAGCGTGGTTGACAAAAATGCGTCGGTAAAGGTGTCCAAATTCAAGTCCCCACCTGGAACTTGGTGCCGGGCTATTCCTGATGACAAGCTGAATACGCGGGTACCAAAGTCTTGTGGGCTTCTAGGTGACTTCCGCTGCAAAACATTCGTTAAAACCGGAGCCGACACGACGCCCGTCCACTCGCTCCGACGAGAGAGGAAGCCTCCACCTCATCTCACCAATCAAGGCAGCAACATTTTAGTGTTCATATCTTCTCATGGGACAGGTTAGACTATAGTCTAACCTGTACCATTAGATCCCATACATTCTGGATATTCTTGGTACATTCTGACGTTCGGGGCGCATTGCTCACAATTTATATATAGATTATGTGGGCAATGTACGCAGAAAGACAATGGGCAGTGTAAAGCTTTTGTACAAGGGGTCTTGAAAATCGGTATTCGGCATGCCCGAGCCTTGATTGTAGCAGTACTGTTTGATTCGCTACCATTCTTAGGCGATGCAAAATGAATAATCACTTCTCTGATCAATGCATGCCTGAGTCTAAAGGAGTGCACGCAAGTTAGGACACTTCTGCGTTTCCTCGTGTAACATGGCTTCGATGGGCCTAAATAGTGTTGCGAAATGCGACTTATGGTTTTTGAGATAATGAGAAGCAGGTGGTCATCAGGAAGGGGAGAACCATGTTTTACCTGCGAATTCAGAGTCTGTTAACCACGATGAATGTCGAGGTCAAAGGTGATCACGCGCTCCCAATACTTTCAGGAGTTTTGGCCCCACGACGAATTCCAAATGATGTGCGCACACTTGGATTTTAGTCTTGCACCAGACTTGATCCTAACAGTCAACAGTGAAAGACTGTAGGCAAGCACCCCAGCAAAACTTGTGCAAGCATGTGGTGAGAACATCACTTTGTTCGAGACAGGCACAATCAGAATTCTATGAAATATAGCGATTTACAAGGCTAGTTATTGACAATCTTTGTTTTTATAGGTTGCAGTTTACATTTGGCAGGAAGCGTGTGTGATAACACGCACCGTGTTCTCACCTGTCATCGCCACCTTCTCTACCCTGCGTAGTCAGTCTATTCCTATATAATATAGACCTTTCGGCTTGCTCGTACGCCACTTTGCTGGTCTTTCCATGTAATGGCAAAACTGGCGCTTTGTGCGGGCCCGTTCTTCTCTGCTACGTCCTCCTCCGTGTTGATCTACACAAAGAAACCTTTAATTGAGTACGCAAGCGATCCTGTTCAGAAATGAGTGGTATATCACGTATATACTCAGTTATGGCGAATTTCATTGGGAGAGCAGGAGTCCCTAAAAGCACGCTTAAAGTGCTCTCTTCAGAGCCCGCATATTTCAGTGGTCAAACAGGTGCAGGAGGACTGTCATCCATTGGTAGAGCGAGAGTGCTTCAGATGCGCCGAGAGCAGCCAGGAGCAGTTTGCAGGGCTCTCACCTGAAAATCGGAGTAGGCGCAGTACGACGAGTCACGTGGTCCTTGAACGTCACAGTTTCCGAATTTATCTTCAGCGGTAAGTGTGACGACAATGGTAGCAACCGTGTGTAGTTTGACACCGCTGTTTTGTACGAATGGCTAAGATGAGAGCTGAACATTTGACGAATGAGCCATTGCACTAGCGTACTAGGTATTAGGATAATGAAGAATATGTGGCTGACCGATTTCACGCGTATTTTGCTGCTGCCCCAAAAAGAATATATCAGGGCTTTGAATGGCTCAGTCATACGGTCTCCCTACTCGTCACCTTCTCACCTGCCGTCCGGGAACGCGGTGCACTCCAGTGGCAGGTTTGATGGTCCTGCTCTCAGTCCTTTGCCCCCTATTCCTCATTGCCCTGCCCCCCACTCTTGTTCTCTCAATTGAATTCACCATTAGTGTGCAGCACACCCTGCAACCCGCACGTTCCGATTTTTCAAATAACATTCATAATGTAAATTGTTTTTGTTTGCAGGCTTCGTCATCGTGCTTCTTCAGAGCAAGCTGTCGGTCTTCGTCATAGGACTCCTCGTTGTCGCACTGTCGGCCATCGCAGTCACTGGTGGCGCCTTCTGTCCTGACATGGCGTGCATGTCAGTGACGGTAGGTGGACTGTATGGTGAGTATTCCGATAGAAATTGTTAGTGTACATTGTATCTCGCTCAGAACGCTTTTAGTAAGTCATCTTTCACGATCGGCAAAGTCGATGTTCATTGTGATGAGGCACAGTCGACCACAAAAGTTTATGGACCACATGACCACGTGACAAAAAGCCTCTTCGCGACACTTCCGTTACGTCAGCGGTGCTCAATAGCACCGTTGTGCCAGAGCAGCATCCCTCCCTTAACCTATGGCCTGTCTCTTTTCTGAGTAGAAATACTTTTGACCTTTTATTTTTTATTATTCTACCGCGTTTTTTTTTTGGGGGGGGGGGGGGGGGGAATCTCCGTCTACGTGCTGCTGCTTCGAGACCAGTATATGAGCTTATCTCTTATCAGTCGCAATCTTTATCACAAACTCATAACTAGCCAACGGAACGCCGTTTGAGGCCCACCATGATAGCTTTGATTGGACAATGAAAATAGAAATGGGGTGGTCATACTGCATATAAGCACTGAGCATAAAAGCTGCGAAGTAACAGTGCGCTACGCAGAAGTATAAAACTGAGAGGCCAGGGAATAACAAAAAGACTTGTGTCCGGCTTAGCACTGCGGTCGACAGTTGATAATGCACCACTAGGTGGCCCGAACAGGCAATTCGGGGCGCACTCACATGGATCTCAAACTTTTCTAGTTAACAGTACATCTCGCTGATGTATAATTGCGTATCTTTTGTCTATACAAATAACTCTAGTTCTGTCATTTAAAACACTTTAGCGTAGGTGTAGAGTACTTGCCTAATACATTCTATTCTTTATCTCCATGCGCTCTTTTGCAAATATTTGCAGTCGTAAATACCTATATTCGAAAAAAAATTCAAGTTTAACTCGTTTCAAGATGTCATTGACACGTAATAGTCAATCAGTTCAAACCGCTTCACGTTTTGCAAGATTAAACAAGGTCAGCAAAAACTGAATCTTTCTAAGCTAATCTATATTTCCAAATAAAAAAAAACTTGGCAGATCCCACGTACAGTGGGAATCGATAATGTGCGAAACACTAATGAGGAAGGTGAAAATGTCACTTTAAAATCAGCACAACGTTACGAGGTGAAGGTATATTATGCCATACATGACTTCCGTGTCATAATTATCATGTTTGGATGTGTCGTTTACCTTCGTCGTCTATTCACGTCACGTGATGCCACATTCAGTATATGTGAAGCTATCTAAACGGTCGCGAGCACGCTATGAACGTGGTATGTTGTCATGTTCTTGCATGACACGTGTGTCAGGATTATCATGTTCGCACCAGTCATATACCTTCGTCACCCATTGACGTCACGTAACACCAAATTTGGTATATGTGGAGCTATTGAAACGGCCGCGAATGCATCATGAAGGGCCCAATATACTCCAACGTGACGTCGACGTGCGCACATGCTGGGCAAAGCGGCGCTACACGTTAGCAAAATGCGGGAACTATATAGTTTCACGCCAGGCGCAACGGGCGCGACCAGCGTCCATCGGCACGGCCCGATGGCAACCGGCGCGAAATGCGACATGCTGCATTTCGCGCCAATGCGTTACCCAGGCAGCACTGCCTCTGCCTCTTTTCGTGACGGAGGGACGCTGGACGCAATGAAACCCGCATGCGTCAAAGCAACGCAGCGTGGCGCGCGCCTGCGAGTATATGGCAAGACCAGCGCCTGCCGTGGCCACGCCGGCGTGACGCGACGAAACGAACGCCGGTGTGCACGCGCGCCGTGTCACGTCGAAGTGTATTAGCGCTTTGACTGTGCCATGTAGTCATGTTGTCACATGACACGCATCTGATGATTATCGTGTTTGCACCAGTCACATACCTTCGTCATCCATTGACGTCACGTAATACCGAATTTGATACATGTAAAGCTAGTGAAGCGGCCGCGAGCGTACATGACACGCATCTCATGTATATCATGTTTGCACCAGTCTCATAGCTTCGTCATCCATTCACGTCCCGTAATAACAAATTTGGCATAAGTGAAGCTAGCGAAACGGCCGCCAGTCCATCATGAGTGTGGCGTGTAGTCATGTTGTTACATGACATGCATCTCACAATTATCATGTTTGCACTAGTCACATACCTTCGTCGTTCATTCACGTACCGTAATACCAAATTTTGTATATGTGACGGTAGCGAAACGGCAGCGAGCGCATCATGAGCGTGGCATGTAGTCGTGTTGTTACATGACACGCTTGTCATAATTTTCATGTTAGGGTCTGTCGCTTGTGTTTGTCATGCAATCATATCACAGTATACCAGTTTTGCAACATGTTATGCGAACGAAACCTCGGCAAGAGCAGCAAGACTATGAGGTGTAAATCATGACTTTATGACATAGATATCACGATTTTCATATTTTGACTAATCAAATAGGCTCGTATTACAGTAATGTTATGCCATACCAAGTTTGGTATCGATATCGTTATCCAAAAGGCCAGGAGTGCTTAAAGCCGTAGGTGGCTAGATAGATAGATAGATAGATAGATAGATAGATAGATAGATAGATAGATAGATAGATAGATAGATAGATAGATAGATAGATAGATAGATAGATAGATAGATAGATAGATAGATAGATAGATAGATAGATAGATAGATAGATAGATAGATAGATAGATAGATAGATAGATAGATAGATAGATAGATAGATAGATAGATAGATAGATAGATAGATAGATAGATAGATAGATAGATAGATAGATAGATAGATAGATAGATAGATAGATAGATAGATAGATAGATAGATAGATAGATAGATAGATAGATAGATAGATAGATACGCTCAAAGTTGCCAAAGTTCGCCAAGAAATGCCTAGCATTTAAAAAAAATTCAAGACCTCATATGACATGTTAAAAGCAAAGCTGAAGGTGAATATGCAAAAGATGAAAACAATTTAGGTAGTCCGGTGAAAAAGCCACAGTTCACGAGAAATGACTGGTTCCGAGAATTTGTGCAAGAGCTTATACGTCAAATATTAACGAAGAAACCATCTTGAGTAAAAGTACTCCCTTGAAAAATAAGAATTGGCCGATGCGCGTACAGTAGACGTTCTCACTATTGACCAGTACCTAGCGCTGTCGCTAAAGCGGATAGTGTGCAGTTAATGATTTTTTTTCGTTTTTAGCCGACAAGGATTTAAGGCCCGATGGGAAAAAGTGATAGCAGTGACTTCAAGAGATATGAAGATGAATGGCGAAGTTGAATAGAAACAAATGTAGGTAGCTGATATAGAATGTAGGATCTAGTAGCTAGCATCTAGGAAATAGTAAAGAATAAGAAGGAAAAGATGAACCTGGTCACTTAAGTAGCGTAGCAGACAAGTCACATCTTATATTTCGCGTATATGGACTAGTCTAGAGCATGTACAGTGTATACTTCACAAGAACTACTGCATGCGTCACAGAAATGCGCAAGAAGGACAAGAAATATCAGAAGAGAACATTGCGCTCATCTTTTTTTTTCTTTTTCTTTTGAGAGCATGGTGAGTGGTTTTTAAATGACCAGTGGTTATCCTGCCTACGCACTGCATTCCCGGCCCAAATCCCCCTCTTCTTGATTTCAGCTATGATATCCTTAAGCCCCACTTGTTTCCTGTCCCACTCTGCTCTCTTCTTGGCAAGGACGATATCTCTCTTCCTCTCCAGTCTCTTCCATTTCAAGTACGACAAACCAAATCGTCCAATCTTCAACACTTGTTGCTCATGGCGTTATAAAATCAGCCGTCTTTGAGTACAAATACTTGACGTGCTGCGCCCCACTTCTCCGAACAATAGACTTCTGTCATTATGATCATCGCTGTAGTGCTACTGATGTACTTTCTGGCCCATAACATTCGTGCGACACACGTCAGGGAGGCGTGTCCTTTCTGTTACGCCCGTGTGCAGACTTGCTTATCTGTTTATCAGCTACGCCATTACTTTAATTCAATACCACGGGGTAAGAACTCTTGCTCAGTTTCCTGCACTTTGCTCACGGGCCTTTCAAGGATAGTACTTGGGAGGTATGAATTGTACCGCATTTACACTGCGTTAACACTGCGCGTAGGCGTATAAAAGATGAGCACACTCCTGTCTACGCTTCACAGTCTTGTGTTCTTCTCCTGCTTGCGTTCCATCCTCCACGCAGTTTTATATCAGCTTAATACACACACCTTACATTCACCTCGTCATCTTTATAACACACCACGCGAAATATTTTTCTCCGCTTCACAATCCAGACACTACAGCGTCAAATCTTACTCGACTAGGAAAAGAAAAACACCAAATTTGGATAGTTGATAGACTTTCACGCTCTAAGCACTATAAAAGCGCTAGAAGCAATGCCACAGAAGAAGAGCATTGAGAAGAACACTGGACAACATACGTCTAATCTTCTTCTGGGTCCTCGTTTTTAGTGCTGTTAAAATCATTACAGAATGAATCGACTATAAGAGAACAGATTGCATCTCCGATTGAAGTTGGCTGTATTGGGAAGTATAAAAGTAGGCTGGCAGGTTACGTCACAACCAAAATCTATGGAAGTAAGACCATATTCGCAGTGTGTGTTCAGTTTTTGCAGAACTTCTCATATATCATGTTTGCTTAGACGAATGGTGTACACCTTGATTTGTGCCAGAATGCAGATGTAAACTATTCATTAGCTGCGCAGAATACATCCGTAGCATTCTGATTATGGTGGACATGCATGCACCTGCGAAGCGTATCTTTCAACATTTTTTTTACGGAAATCATGCTTTCCCTGAAAAGTGCGGGGAAATATACTGAGAAATAATAAAAAAAGAAGGACAGCTGGGTGTCGCGAAGAACAATTCACACCAATATTCAACGCTTCCTTGACTCTTTAGGCACAAGGCACCCAGAGCCTGCTCATATGATGTCATAGCCACCGGAATATAGGCAAATGCCTATTTTGTTTTTTGTGTTCCTATCATGCCATTTTGATATATGAACACGAATTAGAGGGTAGGAAGAGCTTTTATAGTGTTCTTATAGTGCCTCTAAATGCCTATTTTGGACGTTGGTGCCTAATATTCTGTAAGTGCCAATAAATGCCTGTTTTGAAGAATGGTGCCTACATATAAACGCTATTTAAGCTCCAATATTGCTTTCAAGTACTCCTGAAGTCCGGTATTTATGTTACCCGGCAAAATTAACCGTTCGCAACACTGTGGAATGCAGCCTATACTTCATTTCATAAGTAATTATCAGCACTGTCAAGCCTACAAGGCGTTTCAGCAAAAGTAAGGTCGATTATCCTCTACACATGTATTCATCCGCGTCGCGTCGTCTGGCCAGCATCTCTTCGGCGTCTGCTCGCTTGAGTCGGGAGCAGGAGCTGCTTCTGTGCAGCGGCAAGACGATGAAGAATGAATGCGAAACCGTAGAGTGTCATCAGGGGAAAATAAAGTGTAGATGAAAAAACGATATCCATGTGGTTTTTGTTTTAATTGTCATTTACTTCTTAAATGGCGCTTCACTAGGCAACAGGAGAAATTTTACTTGGACAGGGAAAATTGTTGCGTCACCAATGAAAAGCCTTGTATCACTAGAATTTTTTGATCGGTTCGTTACAACCTGCGAAAGCTTGATGGGAGGAGATTAGTTTGAAACCTTTGCCACTCACTCAACGTAGACTTCGCCAACCCAATTCCTGCCCTGGCCTATTTGGTACCGGAGCAACTCGGAGCTGGAGGATCACACGGCGTGGACACATCAGCACGTCATGCGCACGTAAGGTGTATGCTTATGACCTGCCCCTGCCAGGCCGTGCAAGCAAGCGTTGTTTGGTCATTTCGACGTTCTCTGTATTGTGCTGCCTGCTTCTGAGGGATGGATCCCTCTATGCGCGTATACGTTTGGAAAGGCTGGCATAGATCACGTATCTTTACTACGATACACAGCATAGCACCGCTGAAACTCCTCTAAGAAACGATGCACTAAAACACGTCAAGCGTTGTGAATGCTGGCACCGGCACTATGCTAGAACACCAACGCAAACTAAATGGAGGCAGCTTAGTCTCGCATCTTGCTCGATATGAAGTTAAAAAAAAAATAACGCGCATAGATTCTGCGTGTTTTAATATTTGTGTCAACATTCATAATTTTATTCAGTCAATAGATTGCACAAATTACACACGTCCTCTTGAATAGTTTTCGCAGTGTGAAGTACTACTTTGACGAACGCAGGACCTCCACCATGTTGGGGCACGCGCCCATGAGATGAAGGTCAAGCGGTCTTCAGTCTGGCATTTCATCTCTTCATGGCGCGCGTAGCATGCACTGCAAATCTTGGCTAATGAGATTGTGAGCGCCCAGTGCATGCATTTCGCTTCGCTTCTCGATATTCTCAAACCTGCGTAACGGCCCTTTAAGGTGTTCACAAACAGAAAAAAAAATTGAGCCTGTGCGGTTAGACAAACTTAATACGAGGCAAAAAGATCTTTCTGGCCTATTGCGCTCCGACTAGTTGCCCCTGTGTTGCCCTTCTCAGCCATACCGAAAAGAAAAAGACCATGAAGCATGTTTATTTGATGGTGGACACTTAACTCACCATGCTGTACTAGAAATGGAGAGACCATATTCTGTGAACCCTGCGGAAAAAAATACATGGCTATGCTGAACCATTACGCTTTTTTATTATAATAAATTAAAGCAGTTTTGTTTGCTTTCTTGTCGCAAACACAGATACGTACCGCACGTTTTTTTTTCAAAATTTTTAATTTCGTCAAAGTTTATTGTGCCTATGTTTACGATTTTAGGAGTCCAAAGTAGTGTTTTACCCGTTTATTTTTGGTGCCTAAAACGCAATTTTTATTGCCTATAAATTTGGCCTCCAAGTCATATCATTTGGGTATTATAAGCACATTTCACCTCTGTGCAAAGATTGATGTGCTTAACTTGGAATAATTTTTAAAAACGTGGGCTTCAAATTTTTCTCTTTGCAATTTCAGGCTTGGGATACGGAGCCAGCCTGACATCCTTCGCCATCTACACGATGATGTATTTCGAAAGGTACATGGCCACAGCCACCGCTCTGAAGTACGCCGCCTGGTCAGCGTCAGGCCTTGTGGGTCCGTCGATCGTCTCTTTGCTCGTCAACTACTACGGACTTCCCGGAACGCTCCTCTTAATCGGTGCTATCATGTTGAACGGCCTACCGCTAATCATGCTCATCAAGCACCCGCGTCCGCTGAAGCTGTGGTGTTCACCGAGCCTCTATAAGCCGAAGCCAAGCTTATCTTCGCCTTCTGGCGAGCACCATGACAAGACAGACCACTGCGCAAAACAGCCCTCGTCCCCGTCGTCTACAGCGGCTCTTTCACCTTTGC